ATTACTTAAAGAATCAGCCGCCACTTATGGAATCTATTAAGATCCCTTTAAATTTTAGTTCCTCTCTCACTGTCATTTCTTGTTGCTTCTATTCTTTGGTGAAGGTTTACCTAGAGGCAGTGGCAGCTCGTGGGCACTAGCGGCAGTGGGGCACACACTGGAAAGGAATCCCGGGATTCGTTTTTCCCTTAGGTAAACAAGTTCTCCGCTTAATGAAAATTAAATATATTTCAAAACAATCAGTTGAGGCAATAACGATTTCTGAATGTGACTACAGGGAACTAAATGTGACCACTAAAAATGCATTTAACTATGTATGTGGCTATTTAATCAAAAAATCATTACATATCCACTCTTGCGAAATTTGCGTAATTTCTGAGAAGAATGCAATTTACTTAACAATTCTAACTTGTTAACGCGTTTTAAAGCATGCGACTCTGAAGAAAAGGTGTTTGGCAATTTAAGATTTCCCATCGAAAAATTTCTCTTTCATATTTTCAAATTAGAAAAAAATATTTAATATCTCTATTTGATAGTTTGTCAACTAAGCCTGGAATTTCCAACGCATACCTTTTTGAGATGAGTAAAATAGAATTTGGTCATCCTTGCAAACAATTTGCGAAATGTACACCGTTAAATTATTTATAAGACTCGGAATTTTTTATACTCTTAAATATGCAAACAGAGGTTTGAAATCCTCGAAAAAGTCAGACAAAACCAAAAGAAAAAATTTTGTCCCATCTCTATTTTCAAATGTACATCTACAAATTTATATCCCGTCATAATAAATTTCACAAATTCACAAGTTCGGCGATGTTTTGTAACCTAGGCGGTCGGACTAAACGTTCAACGGTCGCAAGCTCTGCTGAAACTGGAGCCAACGCAATCGTCCGTACTATTTCTTCCGCTGGATCTAGGAAGGAAAAGTGGTGGGGTGGGAGCTCTAGGCTATAGCCGCCGCGTACATTCGTATCTGGTGTAGGTTAATCTGGGACAGCGCCCTGCTTGTGACGTATAATCCATCGCATGTTTCATCTCTTGCTAAGCGATATTGTCGTTGTTCTTGTTTTTCGCATCATAATGAGAGAGAAAACAACAGAGGCACACATTTACTGTGCCCTGTGCCCATCTTCGGAACGTCGCTCAACGCCCGGTCGTCCAGTGTCGTGCCAACGCGGTTTGCGCTGAATATTAGATAAAATAATAACAATAGGCATTGAGGAAAATTGTAAGTTATTTTTTTTTGTTTATTATACTAGGGCACGTGCCCAAGTGCCCTTACGGGCAAACCGCCACTGCCGAGTGGTATACTTTCTCAGAGATTTGTATTGAGGAAGAGAGACGGACAAAAGCAGAATAGGAAAACCGGCATTTGGATTGATCACATGGTGTCGACCGTCTTGGGAGGAAAATTTACATTACAAACTAAAAGATCTGAGGGTACCTAATGGGTGGTTTACCATTTATAAAAATTACAACTGAAAGGTTAAGCCTATATACTACAAAACTACTTACAAAACTACTTACGAAACAACTACATACCTGTGCCTTCATTCATAATTTTAAAAAGACAAATTTCTGGTTGACTGAAATTTAGCTAGATGCAATAATAAATAAAAAATAGAAAAATATTTCACAAGTAGGTACACTTAATACTACTTTACACTCAATATTGTGAAACATTTCAAAACGTTTGGAAATCATTCCATATATAATTAAATTAATTTGGAAATATAGATATAGGTAATAATGAAATATCGGAAAATCCGCTGGTATTTTTAAAATAGACTCCAAAATTATTTTGGTAAAAAACCGACGTCCTTTTACTTAATTAAAAAAAAAACTTGGCTCTGCGACAATTAGTTTGTCCTTATGATGTAATATCTTGCGTCAATTGAATCACATCTATCATAAAAATAGAGTGTCTTCCTGAAAGCACTGCAATTCATTTTTTCACTAGGAATTCACTGGAGGCGTGAGTTGAATATTTGAGAAGTACTCAACAAAAATGTTATCTGGAATTTCGGGAAACTGAGATAAAAAGGCGGTGTATATTTTCATTGATTTTTAAATTAATCTTAACGTAATTTATTTGTTATTTATTTATACCCAAACAGATATAATTACATGGGCAATATACGAGGCAATTATGTTTACAACTTTACAAATACATAATTAAAATGATTAGATACCTAAAATAATATTAGTAAGTAGGGTACGAGGTAGGGTACAACGCGGATATCATGACAATACTTATATGAGAAATTAAAAAGAGTTAACACGTTTAGAAAAATCTCGTTACTTTTCTACTTTGATCACGTTTCGGTTGTGATAAAACTAAACACCTATTTAAATCATGGAATCGAATAAAATCTCAGAGATGCTACTCTTACACTGTTGTCAAGTGGCACAAAAATTTCACTATCCTATTATTTATTGTCAAATAGTACCTCCCCCAATTCGTTTCCTTATCTACATATTTTATAATACTATAACTATTGACGTTATTTTACCTACCCAGCATCCATATTCACTCCCTTTCTTGTAAAACTGTTAATATTAATTGAAAAATAGCAGTTTTTTACAAGCTTTTTATTAACTTGCAATGTTTGTATGTTTGTTTAGGTCAAATCTCCAACTGATTGAGTTTTGCATGCTCGTTTAATTTAGATGACGTCATTCTAAATCCAATATGGCGGACTCGAAAGATGGCGGACTAGTTATTTTTTATGCACCCTCATGATATGAAATTAAAAGGGTTTATTGAGAAGAATACACAAACTAAATAAAATGACGTCACACTAAATTCAAATGGCGGATGCAGCAAGATAGCAGACAAAATTTTCTTATCTACCATCATGATATGGGTATCAAATAAAACGATTTGCTGAGAATACGAAAATAAAATGATATCACTTTAAATTCAATATGGGGGCCCAGAAAAGCTTTTTTGATAAATACAAGTATCTACTTATGGTAATTTTTTCATCGGTTTTTTTTTTTTTTCATTTTTTTTTTATTATTGAAAAGTGGTTAAACTAGAAAATCAGCAAACTTTCAATAAGTAGGTAAGTATATATCATTTTGTTTTTCATAATATTCACGCAATTTGTTGTGGTACTAACTAAAACCCTTGGCAACGCTGCATAAAAACTACAAGATCCACCACTTTACATTCTTCTGTGTTCCTAATATAGTTTAAATTCATTGCTAAGAAGTTATATCGGAAGTTATGTACCTACTTTAAAAATGCATTTTGAATTTTTTGTAATAAAAATATAAAATAATCTGATATTCATGTTATCAAATATACATACCACCCCACCACCTTGTATAGGTACTACTATAACCAGCTGAAATAGTAACACTTAAATCCTCGCTTAAATCATAATATTTAAGTAGCAGTTATGATAAAAGTATGGGAACTTATTAGATTATAAGTTTAGAGATTCACAGGATGTTTTTAATGACAGTTCATGGCTATGTAACTAACTGAGAATGTCAAGGACCTCCATGATCAAGTCCATGATAATTCGATGGTAAAATAAATTACTTACTCCAATTTTTTGTACATTCTCCAAGAGATTGATATCCTTGATAAAATTGGGTTAATACCAGTTATCACTCATACCCTCAAAAATCGCCTATTTGAATATTATTTCTTTTATTCGATCATTTTTCTTCTAATATGCCTAGACTAATTTTTAGTAGGTACTTAGGATTTTTTGGAAGTAATTTTAGTTGCAGACTACTAGAATTCATTATTAATTTCAAAACACATTCTGAATTTTTGCTGATAAAGACAAAATAAAAATACCTACTTTCATTAGTCATACCTAGTAAGTGATCCACATCATATCATTTAAATTAATATTAATAACCTACAATAGGTACATATTTAATTTAAATTTTAATAAGGAACAAAGGTCGAACAGGTGAAATATAGCAAATTTATGTTCTATTATTTTTAGACTGTAAGGCTTAAAGGTTTACAGCCGGTTGCAACAATGTTAATTAAAATTTAGGAGCCTGATAAACTTTGACAGAGCTTGAGAATCTAAAATGACATGAACTTCAAATTACTCACAGCTTTTTGTAAAAATATACAATTTGAAAATGTTGGTAAATCAAGTAAGTAGATACTTAAATGTTATTTTAAAACCAATCAAAAATATCCATAGGTACCTATGTAGATATACTTACTCGACTTATTACTTTTACCAATCCTGTTGCTGGTGCTCACAAAGCAACCTAATCAAAAGTATGCTTAAAAGTTAACAAGGCAAACCAAGAGACAAACATAATATAAAAATATGTTCTTTAAGGAGTGAGACAGTGTAGATAGAAAGCTATTTAATAAAAAAAAAAAATTTAAACATTGCTTCATTTAAATTTGACGGATTTTAGAAGTATTTTTCCATGAGGTACTTATTAAAATTAAAACATCTAAATTATTATGCAGAAGGTAAAAACAACAATTATTATTAAGTAGGTAGTCAGTGGCGTAGCCACGGGGGTTTTTGGGGGCCAGAACCCCCCCCCATGGAGGTCTTCGCGTCACCGTTTCCGCTATCTTATTGGCGCTGATCACTATTAACTCTTTGTTAACCCCCTCATAGTTCTCAGAAGCCCCCCCCCCCCCCATGAAAAATGTCTGGCTACGCCACTGCAGGTAGATATTAACCAAAAATAAAAATCTACCTCGTTTTTTTAAATTTTTATGAATAAAACAACCTGATCTACTGGAAAACGGACAAAAATTTCTAAGTTACGAATATTTTCCGTAATTTCAGATGACTATTTTTAAAATTTTCTACGAAGTCATAGAATTTATACGTAATTTTCCATGACTATTTTTAAAATTAACTCTTAGATCAAGTAGGCGAGACTGACGAATCTTTCATCAAGACTTACTAGATCTAAAGAGTTTGTGAACAATTTTCGGTAATTTTTGAAGAAAACAAATTAAGACCTATGTAGGTATAAAATGGAATACTTACATTAATATTTGAATCAACCAAGGGGGATAGGATATCAAGTAAACGTCATATATCCATCATAGTGGCTCCTGCAGAACGGATGTCAGTCTCCAGGATCATTTTTTGCTCTATATCCAATGCTAGAAGTCACAAAAGCTGATTCCACATTGTGCATCTTATTCGTGCAGATACCAGCAATCTTACTCAAGTTGATAATAGCAAACACCCTTATAAATGGACTGATTTCACTAGTATACATAATAATAGAGGAATTAGAATACATTTATCGAACTAAAATCCTTTTAATACAATGCGTATTTCAATCTAGGCCAGTCACTTAACTATTCTGGCTTGTTGGATAAAGTTATTCACAATTATTTCTACGTCACACTTCTTGGAGAAAAATGCCTTTAGTCCCGAAAAAGCTAACCTCACTTTTTCACAGTACTATTTAGGAATCCTAAATTAACTTAAAACTTTCACTATCAGTCTTAGAGCTTCTAATAATCTGATTTAACGTTGACATTTTATAAATCTTCATTTTCGAATTTAATACCAAAAATCACGAGGTTCGCAATCGTCGATTTGTAATTTGACGTGAACGATTCGCAACGCTGGTTATTATTTCAGACGGATTTTAGAACGTTTCATCGAATACTGTGATAATTTCTATTTTCAAAATGCAACTTTTCACAAAATATAACCGAACGATGAGAAACTGGATGAAAAAGAGCACACTAGATCACACCCCAATGCAATATGATATTTTGCGACTGGCTGAAATTTTTTTTGAATTCGCGCAAGTTCACTGAAAACGGGACCTGGAAGGGAGGCTATTGAAGGAGGGGCGAATACGCGTTAAGAGATCTACTCATGCGAGCCGTAGAAAACAAAAAGTCACGCAATGTTGCCAAGATCAACAATTTATATTTCCTGAAAATCGGGGGTCTTCCGAGTGGTAATATCGTTGAGCAAGAAAGCGAATGTGTGGGAAAGCTTGGAAAAAATTTAGGATTTCCCCCCCGAGATAACAGGAGCTGTAACATGTAACTACTAACAAATATCGTGCGGTGATAAATAATACATATTCTAAGGGACACAGGAAGGTACAACATCCATTGTTGTCATTTCTCTCGTTTTGTTTTACAATATTATTTACATATATTAAAAAAGCTAATATAATTCAACCTATTTTATTGCAACTGAATCCAAAAAAATTTGAATCTTTAGTTAGGTATATCAAATTTAACTAAATTATATGTAATTTCACTAAATTACCTAAATGTAATATTTTCAATAAATTCCATAACCTGGTAAGTTGGAAGTGGCAACAGGGCTTACACCGGCATGAATATCTACGTTGACTTACACATTTATTAGAGAGTTAAAGCAACGCTAGATACGTATGCGTATCTCTCTGACGTAAACGTGGAAATTGACGATACGTTAAACGAGCAATCTGGAAGAAAACAATAGTTAAAGCAAAGGCATTGACGTAAACGTATCTATAACTTTATAACCTTAGGTACTTTTTGAGAAAAGTAGATAGTTATATTGAGTAAATTATAAATTTAAGGGCTTTAAATAATGCTGTATTACAAATTCTACATATAATAAAGAAAAATTTGGAAAACAGTGATGTTTTTTTTGTGGGAGATTCAATTTTAATAATCGACTAACAAATAATCGATTATCAATGTCCGGTAATTTTTACTAATTTATTTTTTTTAATGAACTTTCTAGGAATAAATGTGATATCTGTTATATATGAAACTCGTTTCGTATTATGGCTCAAAATTTAAAAAATCAGAACAATATAAAGTTACAATCTGTCATTAGTTTTATTAATTCGGGTGCGATCGGATGCTCCCGAAGCATTTGCTCGGCTCGATACGAATGCGTATTAGGCGTACGTAAGAACACGTATGTTTACGTAAGACGTAAATAGATACGTGAGAAAAATAGCTATTGCGCATGCGTAGCTGTCATTAGATACGTTTACGTATACGTTTCTGGCATTGCTTTAACTCTCTAGTCACTGATAAAATAAAGTATCTGCGTAAATTCCTTCTCTATTTCCCCTCTCTTACTTCTCCTCTTTCGTCTCCTCGCCTGGGACCGACAAATAGAGCGTATTGATTGTATAATTAATCTTGGCATCGTGAATATTATATTTTATCAATGAATGGTTATATCTCTGGTTCCCCCAGACCGATGCGAAAATTTCGCGATGGCAGTGAATATTTGCTCCGCCACAATAACCTGCGTATTCAAATTAATGCGAATTTTAAATTTTCACTGTTTAGAATTGTATGTATTGTATGCTATATTGTATTAAGTATTTGTGCTAAAACAAACGAAGCAGGGACGACTTTTGTTGAGTCGACGGTCGACAGTCGACTCTAGAGGTGGCAAGATTAGTTCACTTTGCGAATTTCTATCTCGCTCAGTAAAGTGAATTGTTTAAAATATCAGTTCGTTTATATTTCAAACTCAATAAATCAGGAAATGTGTTAGGCGTGATTAGAATAATTAAAATAAGTTTTATTAAGCATAGGGAAGAGCTGTTTTATTTGGGATATTCTATTAAAAAAAAGTTTAATATTAATTCTCTATTAAAAATTATATATATATATATATATATTTATGTAAACAAAAGTAATTTTTAAATTTCTAAGTTATTGTTTCATGTTCATAAGCCAATTTTTTATAGCTAAAATTTTTTTACGATACAAGCATTTAGCGTTGCAATTGTCTTCTGACGCCTCAAAATTATGCCATATATTGCTTCTTTTTGGAGATTCGATCTTTTGAACTAGTTCGTTCGCGAACTACAGACGTCTAGTCAACTTGACCTATCATTTATGGCAATAAAATGGGTTAAAACAGACGACACTCTACGCGACTCCTCGTCGCGTCGTCTGTTTAACTCATTGCATTGGTATAAAGCAGCCATACTCAACCTGCGGCCCTCCAAGCTGTTTTGTACCACCCTCAAAGCTTTTTTGTGCAGCCCCAAACACTATTATTAGGAATTTAAATGGTTGACCTACAGTCCTTTTTTTAAATTTTCCTTGCGACTTTTCAAAGCTTATTAAAACAACTAAAACAACATGAGGACCTGTTTTTTTTTTAGAAAATATTTAAAGCGGATCCCTAGCGTCTCCCATTGTGCTTTATTTACATTTTAAAAAGGTGGCAACTCTAGTTATCACCCAAAAATATTGTTGTCCGTGTAGCATAACAAACAGATTTATGTGGCCCGAAAGAAAAAAAGTTGAGTACAGCTGGTATAAAGGAAAGGTCGAGTCGATCGTCAACAGGACCGTCGACTCGACAAAAGTTTTAGCACTTTCACTGCAATTTTTTCGATGTGGATTACGGACATTCAGGTTGATCTGAGGGAACATTAAATCGTCGAAGTCCTGATTAATCACATAATAAAGCCTTTTTGAACCTGTTTGGAAGACTACTTATACTTATCAAAAACCAATATAAACAAGTAGAATAGTTAATTTAAGCAAGGCAGAGAATCATCTGAAGACTACTCACTCAGCAGGAGGACACCTAGATTAGATTCCAGAGGAATTGGACTTTATTTGTTCTTGTTCACCGCAACCTTTTCAGATATATTGTGGGACTCCGTTATTTAGAGTATGTTGTTTATGTCTTTTTTATTAGACTTATCAGCTTTGACAGTTGCTTCCGCATACAGTTACATGTTTCTGGCATTTCTTCACCTAGTATTAGAAATCTCAATCTAGTCTGGCCTTGACACTGGCACAAGACGTGGATTGATGTTTTCTCTTCTTCGCAGAACCTGCACACTGTTGCTTCTTCTGCTGGATTGATGACACTCATGTGCCTCTTAGGCGGAAGGCGATACTCTCTGGTAAGAAGACCTTCTTACTGTTATACCCGAGAGGGAGGGTTGTGTATCTAAGTAATCACATCAGCCAAAACTGTAGTATCTATTGGAAGAGGCTCGTTTAAAAAAACAAACAGTTTGCATGCAGAAATGGTTGGGATATCAGAAAACATTTTCAAGATCTTTCACCACCATATTTTGACATGCTAAAGAACAATGGTCACAGGAGTAAAGTTGCGTTAGCTGCTCTGCACAAGATGATTTTCGATGTATTAGACCACTCACATTTCGGATCTAGCCACCAGCAAATTTTATCTGAGCCCAAAAATTAAAAACGAACTAGAGGAAAGAAATTAACAATTTTTAAGATCTTCGTTTCCATATAAACTTTCTTTGTTATAACATTGATTAGTTTGTACGACTACAACTCAAAAAAACCATTGGAATAAAGACAAGCATGATATTTATAATTATAATGGACTTTTTTGTACAAAAAGTACGTTCTTACAAAAAAATACTTATCACCACGACTATTTTACTTCATTAATATGAAGTGATCCACAACAAATATTTCCAACCTTGCAAAAATTAACGTATGTCGGAGCGTAGAATTCTTATTTTTAGGTGTCAGTTTAGATTTAATTCAGAACCGTGCGTAGGTATCAAAGACATGACTCGTACCTCTGTTTTTGTTGGTCATAGCTACTCTACTTTAGAAACATTTTTGTGAATTAATAATAATTATTCATACAATGTCATTTTTAGTAATAATTAACTTAATTAAACATTTCCGTGACATTCGATAGTCATGAATGAGTTTATTACATAAACTAGAGATATTTTCTTATTTAGATTTTTATTTTTCCGTTTTCCTACCTTTATAGCTTTCTCACACAATCTGGCAACGTTCTGTGATTGTGTTGCTCGCACCTGTAATCCTTTTAACGGTTGTTGGAGGGGCAATCCAAGGTAATTGTATGCTTCAGGCTTTGCAATTTGCCAATTTAGACGTTAGAGTTCTGATATGACGTAGTAGGTAGGAAGGTAAATTTTATACCGGGATGTTTATCCATGACGATAAGATATTGATAAGATAATTTAAATTTAAATAATAATAAATTTTAATCTAGTAGGTAGGTACCTACTGGAACTTAAATGGAACAACAAAACTAACATTCTGAATACCAAATAACTAAGTACCTACACCTACCTACTTACATACCTAGGTCCTGTAGAGATTAAATACCTATAGGGGATAACAATTTCAAAAATAAGCTTGGAAGGTAGGTACCTATCTCTTGAACTAAAGATGATAATATCAGAATAGTAAAACCTAATAAAATTGTCTAGATACCTATCTACCTACCTATGTATCCTTGGAAAATTTTAAATTTTTACCCCGTAAATAGGTACATACCTAGATAAAAAACTGCGGTGGATACCAATTAAAAAATGATATTTTATCACACAATTTAAATACTAAGATTGTTATGTGTAATTTCCTGTTATTTGGCATTAACCTAATTCTTTTAATATCAAATAAAATATTTATCAAAATTATATTGTCAGAAAATTATCAAAAATAAAAGTTTATAATAAATCCAGATAGGTAGGTGTAGGTATCTATTATTATGTAAATATAAAATTGAAACGAAAAAGGTGTTGCATAAGCAACAGGCGCTGTGAACATGTGTGTAAAATCACCTTGAGAATTGAGTTTGAAACGTACCTACGAAGCCAGGATTGTATTCGCCCACATAGATTAAAGATATTTTAATATTGATAACTCTTTGTTAAATAATAAATTCCTGCTTGTGTTAATTTTTATTCTTTTATCTAAACTTTGCATCTAAATTGACTTCATGACCTAGTCA